GGGCCAGGAGACATAAACTCAGAAGAAAAGGCAGGTGTATCAGGCTCTACAGAATGCTGCTGGTGGAAGGAGAAAAATCATTGTAACTCCACCGGCAATTTGACTTATTGAGAGCTCTCCGTAGGAGACATCTGGGTGACAAGTAAGGACTCAGGGAGCTAGAGCTGATARACTCCCTAAAGATCCAAGAACTCCATGTTGGGCAGGCAGCCTGGGACAGCCAAGCAGGAATTTGACCCCTTTTTGGGCATTGTTGAAACTGGATTTGGAATCAGCTTCTCCAAAGGAACATTTCAATTTTCGCCATATATTTTCTCTGAAGGTTTCCAATAACTCTTATGCGTCTGGGGAGAAGCAGGTTGGAAGGAAAGAGAGTGAACACTTGGAGTGAGAAGGAAGGGGACTGAGGGGAAAAGAGCTGGGGAGGGCTGGACTATATGTTGAGTCTTACCTGGGAGGGAGTGAGTCATTTGGGGATGCTAGGGACAGGATTCAAGCTAAGGGTGACCGGATGGAAAACCAGCCAGTGGCCCAGGAGGACCTGGTGGCAGGGATGAACAAGAACCACTGACCTGCTGAACACYGGTGTTTGCTTTTGTCCTTGTAGTCTGGCATATGGGCTTGTGGGACTGGCAGTGTGGAAGGGACTGGAGGTGAAGAAGACCAGTCTAACTGGTCAGGGAAGAGGCATTGTTGTGGAGCACCCACGTCCAGGTGAGCCCTGTGTCAAAGACACYGTAAATCTGCATGTCCAACAATGAGCTATGAACTCCTGGCAAGAGCTCATTTCTGGGTAAATTGAGGGTAAATTATCTTTTGGAAGATAGTTCCCTGCAACTGCAATGGACAGCCAGTTTTTGTCCAGTAAGAGGTCTGTGCTGTGAATCTATAAACAACCTTCCTCCACCCATGCCTCTGTAGMGGCAAAATAAGGATCTACATAAAAGCCTTCAGGATGTTTCTTTCCATCATATTTAAATGGGATTAAATGGGATTATTTAAAAATGGGATATTACACTCAAATGACACATATAGTAATCACTCTGAGAACAACCGGCACCTGCTGCATTAAAACCTTCCATTTGTTCATGCTGCAGGAAAAGGAAGGAACCTGCAGGAAACAGGCCCATCCGTAACCCTGGACTGAGCACACACAGATCAGCACACACAGATCAGTTGCTGCTGTTTTGATGTTCTCACACCACCAAGAGGTGCTCTTGACACAAGTTTGCTTCTGCATGTGCAGCAGGGCACAAATCTGAGGTTTCTTGTTCCCTTTGCTGGGTTTGAGGGAGGTGCTCATGGGAATTAATTGCTCAGTGAGAGTTTTGTTCCGGGAGGCTTCCAGGGTCCTGAGCTAGATCACCTTGGAGCGCCCCAGTTGTGCTGGGTTTGCATGGCACCCTTGTGAGACTGCACACAAAGAAGGAAATGCCTGATACTGTTTTCCCCCCACAGGGATCCAAAGCAGTGCGGACCACCTATTCCTCCCTCTCTTTCTGTGGTGTTCTGCCCCCTCAAGGATGATGGAAAAACGGTAAGGGGGTTCTTTCAGAAATGGTGTTTGCACATCACAGCCCTGTACAGGAGGGCAGGAGCTGAGCAGGAGGCTCATCCTTCAGCACAGACCAAATAGCAGGGAGGACTTGTTCATGAAGGCAGCACAAGGCTCATTTCTTTGCACACACAGCACACGGTCACAGCATTACCCTGGGCCCTGACAGGATTTACTTGATGTGACCTCTCTCTCAGGCAGTCCTGAGTGGTCATGARAACTTCCCTCTGTGCATTGGGTGCCCATCAGGGTAAACATTAATTTGTTTCAGCCTGACTAGGCTGCAAACTGTCCCCACTTCCTATATTCCCCTTTTGTGCCTTCCCACTTCCCCTTTGACACAGCTTTATACCATCTGTCTCCTGCTTTTAGTTCTTGCTTTGCTGCTTCTCTTTTCCAAAATTCCCACTCCTCCCAGGTGCTGCCTCACTCCCCCTTCACTGCTGTGGTTTATCAGACTGCCACACTTGTTTAAAAAGCCTGTCCTGGCTTCAGAACCCAGATCATAACTGAAGTGGGTGATGATGTTCTGCAGTCCCTCTTACAGAGGTCTGGAGTTGTTTCATACACGGTCTGTTTTCTGATGTGGCCCTCTTCTCCAGACTAAATTTGTTCTATCAAACAAAAGCTTAGAAAAAGAATGAAGTTTCCAATTCAGCCTCAGTAACACAAACTACTGATATTTACATCCATCATAAGAAACCCAGCTTGCAGAAGGTGCTTGTTTAGTCCTGATTCTGTCTTACTCATGGCCTGTTCTGGAGACCAGCCCTACTGCAATCAGAGGCAGGTGGTCCATTCCTGACACTTTGTGCCATGGATGCTTCTCTGTCTGCAGAGTGTGACTGCTCCCAGCCTTTCCACTGTGGGCCAAAACAGGAGGTCTGCTGCCATCTTCCCACCTGGAGCACTAAAAAGAAGCTCACCTCCATCTCCTCCTCTTTCATGTTATGGATCTGGGTAAACAGAAGACCACAGCACAAACCTTTGGGTTTGAAGTTCTTTGCAATGGTTGTTTCACACTTGTCAACTTCCCTCAGTTGACAAATTGTTCTCAGACACTAAATCATGCTGGGGTTTTCTGGCTTGGCCTTATCTGGTTCTCTGTCCTTCTGCAGGTTCCCAATGATGCTGATATAGGTTTCCATTCCCAGAGACATTTTACTCTCAGCCAGTGACAACCCCTATCTCAGTGATACCCATCTGCCACTTTGATGGAAATAAATACAGATCAATATCTGACTCTGCATTCTTTCCCACAAGGTGCTTAGACTGTTGAACAACATTTTTCACCTGCTTGTTGTAGAAGGGACRTAACAGGGCCTAGAGACTATATGTGCAAATTCAAACTTGAGTGTCAGCTGCATGACTTGACTCCCCTCCTGCTAGCACTCTTTATACCTTATCAGATGTTAGATACACTGCATTTCATAAATACAGATGTAATACACATCTTTACTAGTAACTAACTGATTATGTCTTCTAGGAAGGCTGCACCAAGGAAATGAAAAGACCTATTTAGAGTACTGAGGAAATCTATAGCTACTCTGTTTTACAAGACTAACATCTCCTGAACTACCAAAGCAAAATCTTATGCTTCCCTTCTACCATTTTATTTCAAAGGCATAAAGCTTCAATCTTGCTGCACTTTCAAGTCTAAAAAAAATCCCTCTGGCTCTTCATTCAAGTTTATCAGACTCTAAGCAACCCTTCTGTAATCTTTATAAGAGGGTTTCTTCTTGCCTATAGCCTTTTACAATCACCATCTTTCTACCTATAAAATCGAGTCCACTCCCTAAGCCCAACCTGAGTGGCAGCCTAAGCCTCATGAAGGGGCTATTGAATTTGAACAGACCTGTAATTTGTCGCTCTGTGGAGAGCTATGGGAATACAGTTGATATGTTCAGCACGGAGGAATACATGGCACTTTGTCCCTGTCCTTATCCCCATGAAAGTACTGGGAAATGTTTATATTTCCTTTTTATTTGCACTATTATTTTAAGCCCATACCAAGTAGCAGAAAAGTCCRGCCACATTGTTGGTTTGGTATTTTCCCTCGTGACCATCAGAACAACAGGTATTTCCAGGCCAAATTAAAGTTTTTGTACGCAGTCAGGGAGAAAAATTGGTCTCTGGCACAGGAGGCAGAGGGAGTAATGTGCAGAGTATTGATCTGCAGCAGTCTGCCTAACCTGGCCATGCTTGATGAGGTGAGAACGATGGACCAGCCTGGATGTCCCCATTGCTCACAYTGGCCCTGTTGGCAGCACCAATGGTGGGAGAGCCCACGTGCTCTGAGCCACTGGTGACAAGCAGCTCTGACCACAGCAGCGCTGGTGCACGTACACAGATGGCAGCTCTGACTGTGGAACGAGTCAGAAGGACTTTTCTTATTTTTCTACACCTGCAGTGCTCTCGCACACTCTGCCTTGCTGTCTCAGGAAAAAATGGTGGAAGTCTAGCCCTGTTTTGCTGTGCTGCTCAAGGCCTGCCATGAAGACAGCAGCTGGTTGGGGGGCTGAGGGTATAGGATGCTTCAGAGGAAAGTGTTCATGCATGGAGAGCAGCCACCCCTCCACAGCTTCAATCCTGCCAGAGGATGCAACAGCACTTGGGCTGTTTTTTTTTWAAATTTGAATTTGACCTCGACCTGTTTATTCAATCATCAGTCCTTCTGGCTCTAGTATGACTCTCTCCTGAATGGGGTTTTTTTTCCCCACATTGTCTATATCACAGATCTACCACACATCAACCAAAAGGAGCTCAAGGGGATGTGTACAGCCTCCTGGAGCTGTGTGGAGGGCTTGGAGGAGACAGGGCACCTCTGTGCCTCACAGGAGAACAGAGCAGCACAAGTGCCTTCAAAACAGTCCTGCTAATGCCAGATCTCTCACCACCAGGAATACTGCTAAACATGAGAGAGGATTGCATTTCTTAGTTCACTCTATTCTTACTCACAAGGCTTCACAGCAAAAACAGTTTGTTAAGGGGTTAAAAAAAAAGCTCAAGCGATTTACTGAGCAGTGAGAGAGGCAAAAGAGTCGACTCTATTCTCCCCTCCATMAACCATCCTCCAGTTCTGGAGTGTTCATTCCTACCCCTGCCCCCAAACCAACCTGCTGCAGAATTAACACAGGAAGAATCTTCCCTTTAAAATGAAACCACTTCCCCAATCAGACGGGTTTTCTGAATCAAGAACTTCCTTTTTCCCCCTCTCTCTCCTCTGAGTAGCTCAGACTAAAGCCTCTCACTGCTCATTTCAGTCTCCTCAAACAGACATTCCCCAAAAGCTGCTGGGATGAAAATACATTTGGTTATTTGCATTTCAGAACTAGTCAATGAGCCCCTGTTAGCTCATCGAAACAAGCTCATGGTTTCCTTCACTGCTACAAGCTTCTGACATGTGAGCGGGGGGATGAGGAGCGGAAGGGAGGAGTCACAGGGAAACCCGCCCCCCTAAACTGCTGCGGTCTGCTCGCTGGTCGCAAGTTGTTTCAGTTCTGTGCAGCATCTGAACAAGCCAAACAAGGAGGAACAACACTTGTGTTGAAAATATATCGTGCACTTCAGGATGGACATTAGTGCTGCTGGTAAGCCTCAACCATCGCGTGCCTTTTTTGGGTGAGGGCTGTGTGCTCAGTTTGACGGAGCAGAGCGCACTGTGACATTCCAGCAGCCAGGGTGAAGGCTGTGGCTGGTGGCTGGAGGAATGACATGCTGGAAGATCTCTGGTGGTACAGTTCATTGCGTGTCAGTCTTCAGCATTAGGCTTGGATTTCTTTTTGCTTGCTCTCCCTTAATAACAGGAGAAATTTTCCCACTGAATGGCCTTTGTGCTGAGAGTATTACTGCTGTGTTTCCTTGGGCTGGTAGTGCTGGGCTGAGCTGAGAGCAGGCTCCTTGCTGTCAGTAGTGTATGTGACACTTGGGGTGAAYACTTGTAGGCTTTGGCTTCTCTTCATTCAACTCTGGCAAGCCCCTCAGTAATTTCCCTACAGATCCCAGGAGCTGGTTTGCCTCTGTGGAGCCTCTCATGCRGTTGGGTATCACAGTGCAATGTTCTTGCAAGGCTTTTGGTTTTGGGGCCTCTCTTGCTTATGTTCTTGTTTAAGGTAAATGACTGCATTAGGTTTCTAGAAACTCCAAGTGATCTACAGGTGGGGCTGCCTGGTCCTGAAGTAATCTCAGTGGGCAGATGTGGGTGAAAGGAAATAAGCGACTTCTGAGGAACTGAGAGAGATCTTAGGTTTTATTTCCTGCTTTGGCAGGTGGTGGATAAAGTGTTTGGGATTCAGCAAGGAAAGGCACACTGCAAGATGGAACATTTCTAGCTTCTGGCTGAGGAAGCTCTGAGGGTTCGTCTGTGCAAAGCCAGCAAAGAGGGAGAGCTGAATGGGAATAGGCTGAACAAGGGCCAGGAAGAAAAAGGATCACCTTGCAATCTCTCTTCTGGATCTGACTCTGTCCTCTCAGGCTTTTGTGTGTAGGATATGGAASATAGAGTGAAAGCAAAAAGCACTGCCCAGTTTCAACATGTGTTGTACASTTTTTAGCTCTGAGGTGTATAGTTACCAGGAAAGGGCTTGCTCAAACCCCATACCAGCCTTGCTTTCCAAGGAAATTGGTGGGAGATGAATTATTCCCAGCATCTGACTGGTGTAGAATGTTGGTGAAAGTGGGTCTCTTTAGATCACCCAGCCCTCACTACCTGAAAGCAACTGTGGACAAAGCTTCCAGAGGACAAACTGGGCAGGAGGAGGGGTAACTCCTATTTTGCTATTTATTTTGGGGTGTGCCTTCTACAAAAACTGAGAGTCTCCTAACTGAAGGTATGACACAGTCATTCACTCAAATTATATGTTACAGAGTTTATTAATTGGAAGTTACACATTCAAGCAAGTATACTTCTAATGAAGGATACACTCTGCGATAGCACAGTGAGATCCTCTTCAGCCACAGTGTGGGTTTGCTCAGTTGGGTCGAGGCAGAGTCTGGAGACAGGCAATGCTTGGAGAGATRTGCTGGCTCTGACCGATGCTTTTGCTCAGTCCCACCCTGTCACTCCACAGCTGGGTGARCAGTGGGTTTGTTTGATGCTGAACTCCCTTGGGAGCCAAGGCTGCCACCAGAAACAGTTTTCCAGTGAGCTTTAGAGTACTGAGCGCATTTGGAATTGCTCAATTGTGGCATGATTGTCCTGAAGATCACATATTCATGCACACCTTTCCCTGGGGCCACTCCCACCTGGAGATGGATGTGCCTATTCGGTGCACATCTGTTTGCAGGTAAGGCTTGATGACTTGGGGAGGCTGCTCTCTCTGCAGTGYCTGTCCTCTTCCAGCTTCCTTCGGAACTCCTCTCAGGACTGTCTGGGTGAGGCCACAGAGCTGGTGTGCCAAACCCTTGAGCTGGATGTGTGACAGATGGGAGAGCTGGCTGGTACCATGGTATCCTGGGCTGAGATGTGTGGGGTAAGAGCCCTAGTCAAAAGTCACTGGAAGATGTCCTGAAGGATTGATGTAAGTTGTCACGTGGGATAAGGGCACCAGGAAAAAAAATTCTTCTTCCCACCTTTTCCCCCGTAGCTGAAATTAAACAATTTAATTAATTGTTTATTAAACCAAATAATGTTTATTATTTGCAATTAAACCTGTTGGGATTTATGTTGAATTTCTTCTGACACWAGCTGGCAGAGAGCTGTGGAGTGGCTGCAGGAGGGAGACACACATGGTTGGAGGGAATTGAGCAGCTGGAAGGCTTTCTATCATCTCTGGCTGTGGAGGTAGATTGTACAGGAGATGACACAGCAGCCACATCAAAAAACAAAAGGAATTTCAGGTGAAATTTTTCTATCAGAGAGCCTCCTTCAGGCARAAGCTGCCCATCAAGCTGCTCTGTCTTGTGTGCTGCCAAGCACCCAAACCCATTAGCAGCTACACTCAAAGCCCTCTGTTGCCTTGCAAATGAGCCTGRTGACTCTTGGCTGTGGTACTGTGGGTGTGTAACACATGGATGATCTGCAGCCCTGCTACAGGTACAATTTTTCTTCATRACCTTCCCCTGCTGCTTTTGCTGATGCTTTTGCTTCATTCCAGCTCTCCTGGGTGGTCACTGCCCACTTACCTCTGTGCTTCAAAAGCCATCTTCCTATTCATGTAATTTTCCACGGGACTGAAAGCCTCAGTTGGCTCCTGGATGGTTCAGCACAGCCCTTTGCAACGGGAAATGAAAGCAGCAGACACAGAACTCTCTGCTGGCCGTGCAAGTCCCCAGATGTTTGGGTAACTCTGACCTGCCCTCCAGATGGGGAGGCTGAAGGCACAAGTCACCACAGCTGGAATTGAAATCTGTGTGCTGTTTTGAGTGACAGCACTGAAAATACAATCCTGGTCAGTTCATGAAGAMCTGGCAGGTTGTTCTTTCCGTATCTGCCCTGACGAGGGGTAAACAACCTCAGGAGCAGGTGTAAGACCCACAAATGTGATGCTGATGCACTTTCAACATTTGCTGTCTGGAAACAATTTCCAAACAGCAACCTAATGTCCTTTCTAGAGAGCATGCTAGCCATTTTTTTGTGTGTCTGAGCTGAAAACCTTCAGTGTTGGCTGGGCTGACAGCATCCTTCTGAAACCTGTAGGTGGTTTTGGGGTGTGTTCTTCATCACGGTGAAATTTCCCCCTGTGCAGAGAGCCCTGGCCTGGGCTGTGCTTCATCTGTGTGCTGACCTCGTCCTAGAGGGAAGTGGAACTGAGGTGGTGCTGAGGGCTTTGACAAGGCTGAAGCCATTCCTCAATCCCTTGGTMCAAGGGTGGATCCCTCTGCCTCTGCAAGTGTCCAGAGTGAGCCAGGCAGTGCTTCCCTCCGAATGTCCCTCTCCTGTTGGTCAGCTTGTCCTCAGCGTGGAGAGAGAGGGAAGGAAAGGCAAAGCAGCCTGCTCTGTTAAGTCACCTGCTGCTTACCTTTCTGTGGCTGGTTCCCCAAACAAGCCTTTTGTGTTCACCTCCCCAAAGTGCAGACCCCAGAGTGTGCAATAGCATTGAAGAACAGACCCTGCAGAGCAGAGCAGAGCAGAGCAGAGCAGAGCATCGGGCCTCCTCTCAGGAAAGCGGAATAATGCGCTGGCACATACCTCAGAATTATTTTCCAAGGCAGTCAAGAATTTAAGCTGTATGGGAAACCTGACAAAGATCCTCTCTGCAGCTCTGTCTGAATTGCCCTGAAAGTTTGATACATCCATTTTTTTTCCATATTGTGTCACCTGTTCCTGCTTTTTTACCCTTTGATTCCTTCCCCTTCTGCATGACTCATTCTTTCTCCCCCCTGCTCTCCCCATACAGACAGTCCTTCCCACACTTTTGTCATTCTGACAAACTGGGCAGGTGGGAGCTGGGAGTTGGTGTTTCCAGATGTTCAGGAGGAAGGGGGACTGCGTTATTTATGGTCTCCGTGGGGGTTGTGTGCATGAGATGGCGTCCTCTGGGAGCCTCATGACCCTTTGAGATGCTTTAGGCTGCTTTAACAGGCATAGAGCAGCTGAAACAAAGCAACCAGTGACACCAAAAAGTTTGCTATCAGATGGGGTGGGGGAAGGCAAGGTTCCTCAGCTGTGTCCTCCTACAGTGCTTTTGTAGAAAGAAATATGGGGCAAAAGGTCTTATTGGTAATTTGCCAAGGAATCACCCCAGCAATTCCACAATTACAAGCCCCGACAGGAGTGAGCTGGAGAGGCTGAGAGGATGGACTCAGCTCCTGCAGACACCACAACTGCAGGATRCGTAAACCAAGCTGGAGGACCTGGGCACTGCTCAGAAGCACAGGGTTGACATTCAAAGGGAAGTCAGCAACCCACCTAATGAGTAGCAGAGCCACTGCATGGTTTTGGTTGGTTTTCTTTGTGGTTTCTTTTCTTTTGTTAATTTTTTGTTTGCTAAGCTCCTTGCTTGCTTTGGTTTTCCCCTCACCTACAGATTGGGTCGTCGGGAGCTGCTGGATGCCACAGGCTTTCCTTCCCTCTTGGCTGGCTTCAGCAAGCAGTCAGCTTCTTGCAGCTCTTCACAAGGGCTGCTAGCAGGGCTGGCAGGGCACGTGGGTCCTTCCCAGCCTGACTTCATGTTGATTCCTTGTCCAGTGCTGTACTCCCACAGACTCAACAGCCTCTCCCCAGGGAATGAAAGCAGTGGGAAGAGTGACAGGAGAGAGGCTGCAGCCTGAGAAAAGTGACAGGAATGTACTTGGTGCATGGAAACCCAACCAGCCAGGAGGATGGGGGAAAGATTAAGGCTGGGGAAGGCATGTCTTTCTGAGCTGCTGTGGCCATAACAGAAAAGAAGCATACTAAGATGATTGTCCTTGTCCCCTTCACCTTCTGTCTGTTGTAGCTGCTTCCTTCCCGTTTTTTTCCTTCACTCATATTTATAGTCATTGTTTTGCATGTGAGATCCACACTAAGACAGTTTCCAACGCATCTGGCAATACTTCCCCTTTTTCCAGGAAGGCAGGAGGCCCAGGGGATTTTGGCTTATGAAACAGTGGAGCAGGGCTTCCAGTGATGACCTTGCTTCCTGGGGGAGCTTTGCCTTGCAGTGTTTAGGTGCGGCAAGGACCCTGTCTGCAAGTTCAGCAGTGACCTCCAGTGCTCCCGGCCTTTTGTGAGCTCTGCTTCTTCACGGGGTTTAATCTTCTGCTTTGCCTCATTTCTAGGGCTGCAGCCTTCTTATTCTTGCTGAAGAGGCTGTGTTTAYCTGGATTATATTTAGCAGCAATGCTGTCACCCCAATTCTTTTAGGTATTTTATGAGTCATATTGTGGTCGCCTTGGCGCTGCTGCTATTTGCATTGCTGTTTCTGCATTGTCTGTGGTCCACAGAACAACAGCTTCCCAAAGACTTCCCACCTTCTTCAGCAAGGCTCTCATCCCCCAGATCCTGCCCTAACACTTGAAAAACCTTGATTTTCTCTCTTAAGCCACTTCTGACTAGCTGTGGCAGATCAGTTCACAAAGCCAATGGTTTTCCTGGGAGGTTTGGATGTAGATGAAGTATTTAGGTCACAGATTTTCAGCACCTAAAGATGACTGAGATAAAAACCACCAGAGAGCATTTGGTGAAGCATCTCCACCATTCTGAGGGCAAGCAGAATTGGCTGGGTAGGCGGTGGGTTGCTGCACAGTCAGCTGAGAGGGCTGTGCRCAGCCTTTGGCTGCAAGGAGAGGGGTAAGGTCTGTGCTCACACTCGGACTGACAGCATTTGGAAGGTAAAGGTGAGATGCAGTGGTTGGAACAGCAGGGAGCACAGATGCTGAAACACAGAGATCAGAGGTGCTGGGTCATGACCCAATGAGAGGGTAAAGGGCTGAGAGKTTGGGGCAGCTTTTTCCATTTATCTGTTGGCCCCGGCACTGTTTTCACAGGCATCTCTATTCTTCCAGAGCCAACAGACCTGACTGGGGCTGAGGAGGCTGAAATAGAGACAATCAGGAAGCACAAACAGGAGCTCTTGGATGACATTAAGGTAAGGACCATGCTGACCCTTATGCCTGCCTGGCCTTCTCAAATTTGTCTTCACCGAGGAGCATCCTCGCATAACAGTCCAGGCCATGCAGAGGTGCTCTTGTACAGGAGACGTTTTCTCTGTCATGATCCAATATCAGTTTTAAACTTCACGCTGTCCTGGCCTGTCTGCCACCAGGATATATCTGGCCTGTGGTACTCTATGCTGTAGGAATCATCTACTGCACTAATGGGATACTTGAGAAAGGCTGATCAGATTGTGAGCACGGATGAGCTGGGATTGCATATGTAGGATTATAGAAATGTCTTCAGTAAGTCATGCTGGCAGGCATCTGGCTCAGCATTTGTAATTATTCTCAATCACTGATTACCTGCTAATGACATATCAGTCCTAGTTACCTGCAGCATCCCCCTGTGTTTTCCTAACTTTTGTTTGCTTTGTGAACCTCTAACCAGTCCTCCATGAAGTGTCCTGCCTCTTCGAAGAGTTGTCATGGCAGGACCTTCCACACAAGTTTCTGTGGTTGAACTTGCTTCTCTTCTTTGTTTTTAGCAGATTCAGCCATTTCTCCAATGGCTCCTAAAATGTCTGAAAGTAACAGACTCAAAATCAGCCAGTTATACTGCATCACAGTGATGCACGGTGCTGTGCCCTTTCTGCTCCATTCTGCCTCCACCATGAAATGTGTCTCCCATTTGAGAGAGCTTATTGCACTGAATCATTGCACTTGGAATGATTTTCCCATAACATGAAGCTGTCCAGATGCCTGGGGAATAGCAGCAATATTTCCGGGCAGAGAGTAAAGGATTAAGCTAAACCACATATTACTTCTCAGGCTCCTAGACCCCCTCTCTCTGATGCAAACCAGAATGGTTTCTGGTCCCCTCTTGCAAAACAGATAATGAATGTATGTGCCTGTGATTTGCTTGTGTGTGGTTCTTCCCTCTTCAATTTTCAGAACAGGCCATGGGCACTGTGAGAGGCAGGATACTTGAATAGTAATACTGCATTTTTTTTGCCCACTATGAATAGAGGAAGGTTGCTAGACTGCACAAACCCATACTTTAARCCCCGAAGACATTAAGCAATGGGGAATGCATTGTCCAGTGGAGCAGAATGAGTTAAGGTGAAAAGTGTATCTTAGAACAAGACATTTTCCCCAGGGGATTTTTTTTTCAGAAAGTTTCTATCCATACTCTTAAATACAAATACTTGGGAATGTCTGGGGGAAGGGAGAGGGAGGAGAGAGGAAGATGGTCTTGGCTTGCCAGTAACACTGCTAAAAGACAGCAGTGAATAAAATAATAAAATTGATAATAATTTGGAATTTGCAGGCTAAGGTCATGGCTTTGTCACATTTGTGCAATACCTAAAGCTTTGTAAGGAGCACTCACAGCTCTGGGGACTAATGAAGCACAACAGAAGGTGGCCAGAGCAAAGCTGAAACCCAGAAGCTCTTTTAAATTATGGGATATTGCAGAAATTCATTTTCTCTGTCTGATTACGTGCTCCATCCACATCCTCATTCCTTGATGAGAAAGGATCTGTCATAAAATAACCCTTCTTCCCCTGGCTGCTCTGGTTTGTATGGGGAGGCATTTGGGTGATTCCTGGAAGAGAGCTGTGGCTTTGAGGTAGACCATAACTGCAGGATGGAAGCAAGGAGATACAGATGCCTTCATTTCCTTGGCAACACAGAATATCCAGCCAAAAAGGTCTGTCATGGGCCTAAAGGAAAGTGAATTCCACAACTGATTTTTAAAACTGGCAGTAATTACTTTTATTCCTCCTCTCTTTTTTCTCCACCTGAAGACAGRTATCTGCTCAATGGTATTTGAATGACAGGCACATTAAAAACTGTGTTTCACAATACAGCCACTCCAGGTTCATACAGTTTCCAGTTCTCACAGTTACCAGTTCCACTTCCCCTTTCCTGGTTGTGTAGCAGAACCATGCAAAGTAAAATCTCAAAGGAAATGGACACAATGGAAGGATTCTTGCATCTGACATAGTTTGAGGAACTGAAATTGGCARTGGGGTGAGTTCTCTGGCACTCACCAAACGGATTAAGCTTGACTTTTCCAGTCTTGATTGACAAGACATGAGAACATCTTTCTATCTCTTTCCAATTGCTTTCATCTGGAATCCAGCAGGGTCATTGCAGAGCAGAGCCCATTTCATAGGCATCCTTGGCTGTGCATGACCACCTGACCTGTCCTTTTCCTATGACTGAGGGAGGAATTAAGACATGCTCTGTGTGTGTTTGCTGCTTGCCCCTCCATTGCTTCATCTTCCTGTATTTCTGTTGCAGAGGCTGAAGGAAGAGATTGCTGAGGTGTTTGCAGAGATTGAACGTTTCCAACATGCAGAGAAGCAAGAGGCAGACAATAATCCTGGAGAGCAGACCAGGCAAGTGGAATAAGTATTCCTTTGCTTACACAGTCTCTCTTTTGAAGCTGAGAAAACAAAAACACTGATGGGAGTTGGTTCACAACAAGGACAGGGAAATGAGGCCAGGAATACCCTTCTCTTAGATTTCTTCTTATTCCTGGCTAGTCAGACACTTCTCCTTGAGATACTTAATTTACCTTGTCAGTGAAATGACATGGTCCTTTATTCTGAGTTTGACCTTCCTCCTTTTTTGCGTTTGCAGCAAGCTGTCACAGAGGGATAAAATTCTGTCCCTGGGCCGGAAGAAATTCAACATGGATCCTGAAAAGGTAGGATTTGYTCATTTTGCCTTTGAGGATGAAGCTGGGAGGAAGAGCCTCTGCTGGCTGCTGGGCTCCTGCCTCACTGAGGCCCCTGTTAGGAGCAGCCTCCACTCTGCCCCTGAGTGAGGTGTCCAGATAGGATCAAGCTGTGTTGCCTCCCTCTGCCGCGTGCTGGAGGCCATGCCATACAAATCAACCCAAACCTCAGAGGACTAACAGGTGAATGGTTGCACACTGCCAGCATGCCATGAGAGAGAAATTTCCTTCAGCACAACCCTTCTTGACTGTGAGAGGAGTTTGCTATAATGTGATAGATGTGGATGAACTAAGGTGAGAAGTTTTAAGAGTGTGTCAGGTTCCTTGGCTCATTCAGAACAGAAGAGGATAAGCTGCCTCTGTCATTTGGGGAACAGTTTTGGTTTTGGTAGCATTGGCTGAGCTGTGGAGTAAACATAGCTTTTCTACTTTCTGGGGCTCTGAGCAGTGGTGTCAAGACTCCATAGCCTTCAGGCCTCTGCAGAAAGCTCTGAAACCATCATGATTAAGTAGAGAAGATGTGAGAAAGGTCCGTCTGCCCTCTTCCTGGAGGCGGAGCACTTTTTGAGCTCTTTAAAGGAAAATCACACAAAGGAAGGAGCGATAGCTGGTCATCAGCTAACCACCACAGCTGACAGCTCAGTGGCTGCTGCTCTGCGTGACAACTTGTCAAGCCTCCTCTGTGCCCTGCTGAGAGCGTCAAAATGCTTTCCCCAGTGTCCACACCTCAGCTGGAGTGCTTGCCAGTCTCCTGGACATTGCTCTGACAGTGGGAGCTGTCTCAGAGCAGTGCTATCAGTACTTAGAGCCTGCATGAGAGTAGGTTTTATTCTGCCTTTCTGTCTGACCTTGGTTTGAAGCCCCCAAGGCTTCTTTCTGTGTGGCACTGTGCCATGCTGTGCAGGAACCCCCAAACTAATTCTAACCCTAGACCAGTTTAGCTCTGTTAGTTCWATGCCAATCAGACTGGCCAAAATGTTATATACTGTGTGCCTATATTGTGCACATTACCAGGAAAAGTGAAATGATTCTGTTGAAGTAGAACATTTTAATGGATCTAAAATAATTTTCATTCCTTTATTGCATATTGCAAGGAGAATTGCAATGTGGTCTGGAGAACTGCAGTGTTGTTAGATATTGTCAAGAATCTTTTGAACAAAGCCTCAGCTTTTTCTCTGTCTTTGAAAATCTAAAATAGGATATTGACTCTTTGCAGAAGCCAACTCACACCCTCTATATTCCTTAAAAAGCATTTCCATCCTTATTGTCTAGCAGAGACAGAGCTGAAAAGATTGCAATCTTCACTGTTCGGTGGCACAGAAGAAAAATCTAGGAAAAGAATGTTTTAAGTAGTCTCATGCCCCTATTTTTGTCTGAATGCATTTTATTTTATTATCCTTCTTTTAAACAAACGATTTTTCTTTTGAGGTAAGTTAATTTAGAAAAAATTAACATTTAGGAACAGGACACTAAGACATTTAGATTGAAAATATAAAAATTAATTCTTGTCACTTTGCCTTTTTGGACTTTCCATCTACATTGCCCTGTTTTGTTCATTTCAATTACCACCCAAACATTTAGCCAAATTTTGGGATGAAATTAAAATAGTACTGATGACCCAGAGTGGATGAAGAGGGATTGCACAAAGATGAGAACATGTCTGTGGTTCCTATAAAGGGGCTAGAGTAATAGGAGGCAAGTCCATCAGAGCTAAGGAAGGCTGATATCAGAGCTTTGGGATCCTACTTTCTCATTAGACCACAGAGCTACAGAGTTTTACTTCAGTGTCTTGCTTCTCCTTCCCAGGGGATCCAGTATCTGATTGAGCATCAGGTGTTGTCCTCAGACCCGCAGGAGATTGCCAGATTCCTCCACAAGGGTGAATGCCTGAACAAGACAGCCATTGGGGATTACCTGGGTGGGAGGTGAGTAACCCAGGATGAGGAGATCCCTTGGAGGCCCTGTCCTCCCTGGCCCCTCTGAGCTACCATGGCCTGGGGCAGACCTCAGCCAGGTGCCAAGACTGGACATATCTCCAGCCACAGTGGGCTGGGTGGGCAGGACATCTGTGGGTGGGTCTTTGGAGTGTGATGAAGGCTGGCTGTACAGGCTGCCTTTCCTCYTGCCTCTCATGGGAGCAGTCTTCCCAGACAGGAGTGTGCATCTTGGCTTCTTCTTGGTCAGAGAGGAAGTGAGACTGGGATGGAGCCAAGTGCACGTTTTCACACCAAGGGACATCAAAACTGAGCATCCAACCTGATCTTTCCCCTCTGTTCTCTCCCAGGGACCCCACAAACATTCAGATCCTCCAGGCTTTTGTGGCATGTCACCAGTTTGCCAACCTCAACCTGGTGCAGGCCCTGAGGTGAGTGAGCGTGCCAGGGGATGGTGCTGGAGCCTGCTCAGCCACGGGGTCTGACCAGCCAGGAAGGTCAGGAAGCCCTTGGGCTGAAATGGGAGCTTCCCAAGACCCTGCTGYGTATGCTGGCTCCAGAGCTGTTGCTCTGTGAGGTGTCAACAACTCCTTGGGGGACAGGAAACACTTCCATGGCTCCTTGATTGGGCTGGCCACGTGCAGAAAAGTGGGTCACTGTGGCTTCGGTGTCTGGGGGGATGCAGACAGGAAATGTCTGTCTGCGGTGCTTGTTACGTCAAAAACAAAGTGACTCTGTTTTAGGGCACCTTGGTTTATTACTGGGCACCTCCTGGCAGGACATTTTCTCTTGGTCTCTGCTGCCTTGCAGCTTAGGGAAGCAGAGCCATGATTTCTGCGAGGCTTAGTTCTGCTTCCTGCGTTTGGAGTGTTTGAGGCTGATGTATCCAGGCAATTTCTAGAGAGGAGCAGAGCTCCTATGTTGTCTCCCCGGTGTGATGGGATGACTTCTCCATTTTTTCATGGTGTTGCATGGTGTTTCATGGGGTTGCACCCAGCCTGACTAACTCTGGCTCTGCTCCTGACAGACAGTTCCTCTGGAGCTTCCGGCTACCCGGGGAGGCGCAGAAGATTGATCGGATGATGGAGGCCTTTGCCAACTGGTACTGCAGGTGTAACCCAGGAGTGTTCCAGTCCACAGGTAGTTACTGGGAGAAGGCCTGGAAAGCTGAGCTAGGCTGTTTGCCAGAGAGAGGAGACTTCCTTTACCATTCACATAGCACAGGGAGCATCTCTTGGAAGTGCATTTCCCCATAAGCTAAAGGAGGCAGYCCAGTTCCTGCAAAGCTTTTCTGAGCATCTTCAGTCCTCCTTTTGCTACTGTGCTGCAGTCCATCCCAACGGGCTGGAGAAGTGCTCCCAGGCTCACATGAGGTATTGCCTCATCACAGGCAGGATAGCACTGCCAGGTGTAAGTCTGTAGAAACTTCCCTGTTGGCAGGGCTGTTATTAGACTACATCTGCCCAATTGCCCCATTATCCTGARGGCATGGAATCACCTCCATCACAGGAGATGAACTCTGTCTCCCTTCCTTCTAGCTGAGGGGACATCTCCCTTCTCCTACAGATGAGAGGATGACTCTTTTCTTCAGTGACTAGAATCCAAGCCACCTTAGGTGTGGACTGATCTGCCCTCTAAGACGAGTGCCACCCATTGTGGTTTTCTTTCTCATTGATAGATACCTGTTATATACTCTCCTTCTCTATCATCATGCTTAACACCAGCCTGCACAACCCCAATGTGAAAGACAAACCSCACTTTGAGAGGTTTGTGTCCATCAACAGAGGCATTGACAATGGAGGGGACCTGCCAGAAGAGCTCTTAAAGGTAAGAAGAATTCCCATTTTCTCATCCCCTGGAGTCTACTGAGAAGCAAAGGTGCAGAGAAATGGGATGCTTCCATTAGCAAAGCTGCAGCTGGCATTTTCCCAAAGGCTCAGCAGGCATGGGACCTGCCCTGTGAGGCAAAGAACAGRTGGGCAGCCTGCCAGGTCTGCAGCCAACCAGCCAGGGCAGARCAACTTCTGCCTTGTGTCAAAGCGGCTGCCTACATCCCACACCTGGGTTTGCTGAGCAGCATCTCCTCAGGGTAAAGGCTTTAGATCCTTCTCCAGAGTGTCATTTCTTGCCAGCAATTTGAGGGAAGTTGCAGGAGCCTGTAGTCCCTTTTTTTTTATCTTGGCTTGAAACTTGTGTAATAAATTGAGYAACGTTTCAGTATCCTTTGAAAGCCAGTAACCTGCCTCCCTGTCACTCTGCCATTATGGATGTCACCTTTTYGCACCTCAGCGCCAAAGCCTTGGTTCTGTGAAATGTGCCTCCTTGTGACCTGGTGGCTCTACGTGCTGGTCTCTGCATTCCACATCCTGGCAGGGTTTGGCACCACCAGCCTGGGGTCTGAACGGGGCTGCATCTCTCTGGTGTGGAGTCCCATCCTAGTACCTTAATACTGCCCACARCAGCACTTGTGACATGCTGGGTTTGGTCACTGCAGCATGCCTTGCTTTGGGAGCAYCATTTTGTGTCTCATTTTCCAAGATGAGACTCTTTTTATGACACGAGATGCAGGGAGGAGCTGGTGACCCCCTAGAGACCCTGTGAGATGCAGACTGGGGGCTGTTGTACCCTCCGGGCTCATTGCCCACTCCCCATCTTCCTTTGTACAAACAGAGTGATGGGCCAGATGCACCTAGGATAGCTGTGTACAATCCTTGTCAGAAATCAATCTTTCTTCCTTTCTCTCTCTCTCTCTTTCCCCACCGATGCTGTGGGGCAGAATCTGTTTGAGAGCATAAAGAACGAGCCGTTCTCCATACCAGAGGATGATGGCAATGACCTCACCCACACTTTCTTCAACCCTAACCATGAAGGCTGGCTGCTGAAACTAGGTATGGGGGAGGGCTCTGACCTGCCTGTTTGCCTGCCTCCCACCACAAATCCCCCCCGGGAACCTGCCGTCATCTCTGCTGTCCTTTGCTCCTGTCGGCTGCAGTAGGCTGAGGCTGACACCTGCTGTTGAAACCAGCTGCCTGCTCCTTCATCCCAGCTCCTGCAGGCTCTGTCTGCTCCAAAAGGGAATCAAAAACATATCCCTTCCCATTCCCAGCCCCATCAGAGCAAAATTGGCTCCATGTGTGAGTGTCCACCACACAGTATCACGTCAGTGATACCACAGTGTCTCCTTGGGGCTCACTTACAGGGAGAACTGGGAGGGTGTGACTGTGTGTGCGTGTCTGGAGCTCGGGGGAAGGAAGGACAGAAAAATGTATGACTAATGGCTTCTAAACCCCACTGCCTCTAGGAGGACGTGTGAAAACCTGGAAACGCCGTTGGTTCATTCTGACTGATAACTGCCTGTATTACTTTGAATATACCACGGTAAAGGCTTAACTCAAGGTTGGGAAACTGTGCTGGGTGGTTTTGAGCCTCTGAGGGGGCAGGGAGGAGCAGAGGGTTGGGGGCAAGTCTTCTCTTGATGCTGTGCTCCCAGACTGGACTCACACTTCCACTCTCTCCCATGCTGTTTCCTCACCTCTGGTCTGGAGAAGGAGAGAGGCTACACACTGCAGCTGTGATCTCCTCTTGATGGAGCTCCCCACTGTGTCAGTGGAGGGGGTCTTCCCAGGCAGATCCTGCCCTTGTCACCACCACAAAGGCACACAGAGTGGAAATCAGAGAGGTTCTAAGCAGGGGCATAGATTCAGGGAGCATGTTGGGTGTTAATTCACGTTTCCTTGCCTTCAGGACAAAGAGCCTCTGGGCATTGTCCCCTTGGAGAACCTGTCAGTCCGGAAGGTGGATGACCCCAAAAAGCCGGTAAGTCTCCATTGGTTGGTATTCTGCCAACACAGGTGATCAGGTGGTCAGAGGGAAGAGAAAATGCACACAAATTACTCCTACTCACTTCTCAGAGGGAAGGTGCCATTCCAAACTTCCCTGTGCCCCCATCTAAACACGACTGTATTTGTAATTTCTATTTCTGGCATGAGTGGAGAGCTGTCCTTTGGCTGTACTGTGTGTTTTCAAATGTGTACGTGTGTGTAGGGGGCAGAGATGAATGCACACAGCTGACTTCCTACTTACTTTGCACCGGGGGATGCAGGTTTAATTTCTCTCCTTGGAACTCTCCGTAACGAGTAACAGTGTATGTATACCAAACAGAACTGTTGGTGTTAGGCAACTTGCCCAGGAAATGACACATTTTTTCTGTGTGTCTCTTGTGGGTACCCACTGTTCGATGTGTCATGGCTCTGGGAAAAGTGCCTTTTATCTGTGTGGTGGCAGGCAGAGAAGAGGATGTTGCATCTATTTAAAAGGGGGAAGGATTTTCATGAGTGGAGGGGAGTGACTGATCCCAGAAAGTGTGTTTTGATCCATCGCTCCATAAAACCTGTTTTCGTGTCCAGTCTTTCACAGGAGGGATGTATTTACCTAAGAAGGAAGGTCATCTCATTCACAGAGAATTTTTTGGGTGGGGAGGATAGGGTCTGTTGCATTTCRGAGACAGACAAACTGCTGTCCTCTCCTTTGTAAGCTCTCTGACCCTGTCACCCATGGTTGAAGGCAGAAGTGTCCTTGGTCCACCCTGTCTTGTCCTGCTGCTCCATTTTGTTTCCTTTCTGACAGAATTGCTTTGAACTCTTCAATCCCAACTGCAAAGGGCAGAAGATCAAAGCCTGCAAAACAGATGGGGATGGGAAGGTGGTTGAAGGCAAGCATCAATCCTACAAGATCTCAGCAGCTACACCAGCAGAGCGTGATGAGTGGATCGAGGCAATACGGTGAGGAGAGCTTGAGGCCCAAGTTGTCTTTTTTTTAGCCCCAGGGACAAAGAGTCACACAGTTTATTTGGCTATCAGAGCTTGCAAAGGGAGGTGAAAAGAAATATTTGCAGTCTAACAACTATGGTACCACTTGACTTTAAAGAGTTTCAAAGTCCCTTCTGGAGAATCTCCAGCCACAGCTGAATTCTCTGCTGTGAGCCTGCAGATTTCCAGTCCTACATTTTGCTAAGTGGTGTCTCTGTACAAGTTCAGTTAGGTTATCTGTGATACTCTCCATCATTAAATGTCTTACTTTTGCTCCCATTTCCTCTTCTTTCCAGGACCAGCATCACACAGAATCCTTTCTATGATCTGGTCTCTGCCCGTAAGAAAAAGATTGCCAGCAAAAACTGAACTGTGACCTGGTCACTGGCATCAGGAARGTGTGGGTTGTTGGACAGCTTCCCTCTCACGCTGGGCTCTTCCAGTGAAGAACTTTGGGAGCATTGGTTCCCTCTGCCTCCCACTTGGCAGGAAGATGACTTGATAGGACAGCCTGCCTGCCCTGTTTGCTTCTTCCCTTTCCAAACTGAAGGCAGAGGCACAGGGTGTGATCCATCGAGGACTGTCAGAACTGTGGGCATGGGGTTGCCTATGTCCAAATGTAAAGGCTCAACAGCAGCTGGCCTTTGGGTTCTCCCATATAGCCCCAGACTTGTGGGACAGGGTCTGAGAGGAGACAGGAATGTCTGCACAGTGTCTCCRGCCCCTCCTGTCATCAAACCAGGCCAGGGTGTTTTTCTGTGAGGGACCATGTAGATTCTCTTGGGACAGCTGAGCATGGTCCAGTCAGTTGCAGAGCAGAAAGGTCCCGGTGKTTTCTCTTTGGTGAACTGATGTGTAGTAGTTGTGGGGTGGAGGCCACTGGTATTTAGAAACTCACTGTGCAATCAGAGGTCAAGGTAAAGGAAGAAACCCTCAGTTCAGAGGATATCCTTCTCTCCCCCTTCCTAAAGCGAGAGCTGTGAGCTTCCTAGTGAGAGCTGTAATCCTGGGAGGTCCCTGCTCTGTAACTGAGTCATAGATTTAAAAAGTTAAAGATATTGGACCCCTGTTCAACATAAGGGATAATTGAGCACAGACATGCTGTTGGATCGGGGAGGCAGCTTGGGGTGTTTTGTCTCTCTTTTTTGAGACTCACAGACCACCACAGATTTCCTTAGGGAATAAACCCAAACACTAGCTCTCTTGCTGGCTGATGTCTACCCAGCAAAGGTTGCTTCCTTGAGCAGCTCAGAGGCCTGGGTTTCATATCTGAAAGTTTTGTGGCCAGATGGCATGAAAAACTGGAGGTACATAKACCTCCCCCACATCAGCACACATACACAGAGGCATTCATTCCCATCTTCACACAATGGAATCATCTGGAGTCTGGGGGGTTTTGTCTCTTGTGTAAAGAAAGAAATAAAAGTGCTTTAAACAAGCGCAGAACTCAGGGTAATGCGATCATTTTCGTGATGAAGTCAGAGGATGTGAGATAAGAGTAACATCCTCCTGTGCCCAGCAGAGCAACCTGAGCACCGCTGCAGTCTCTTGACGTTTTCTTCCTGCAGAGGGCTGTATCTACCAGGCAATCTGCAGCAGGGCTGGCACAGCCCGATTATTCATTCCGGTTATTTTAGCCCAAGCCACAGGAATGTTGAATTAATTTCAAGAGGCAGGGAGCGTATCTCAGAGTTGAAGCACGCGCTCACCCTGGAGAAGGAACGTGAAGGTTTTATTCTGCTCATGCCTGCAAACGTCTCCTGTGCTGAATCTCTTTGTTACTGACATGATACAGAGTGAGTTTGCTGCCCGCTGCTCTGGAGCACATGTGCTCACACACACACATTCACGCCTTTGGGTTCTGTGAAGGGAGTGGGCTCATGTCCAGAGGTGGAGGAGAAATAAGAATATGGCCCCTTAGCCTGGTAACACCTCCCATATGTGTGAGAGAAATATAAATACACATTTAGTTGGTGAGAGATGCCCCAGAGCCTGGGACTGGGGTGAGAAATACCTGCTGTAGTGCTTCTCAGGCTTATGCTCTGTGTGATAAAAGCCCTCAAAACATAGTCTGGAGTCTCTTGTCTGCCCACAGTCGACTTTTGGGTGAGGGAATCCAGGCTAAGCCTTCCCTACAATTTACCTGGATCATTCCTATGACAGCAGGGTTTATCCAAGCTCTTCCCTGTTCCTCCTCATCCCCAATCTTTCCAATTCTCTTCAGGCTGCCTGTGTCCTTTCTCCTCCCTTCTCCTAGATACCCACACACTGCAGAGCAGAATTATTCCTGGGGGGGACAGGGTGGGAAGTACAACTTGAGAGAGGCCAAGCAATGCACATAGACAGGCAACTGTGTAATTTTCATCCATCAAACTAACCACAAGAGTCAGGAAGGGTTGGACCAAGTTTCATCTCTCCTAGAAGCTGAGGTAGGGAGGAAGACAGTAAATTTGAGTTTCCATTGCCTTTCCTTGGCTCCAGCACAGAAAATGCCTTTATAAACTCATTTCTGTCGGATGCCCCCATTTCTTCAGTGTCACAAACACAATGGTACGTGGTGTTGCCCACCAGCAATGCAACACATGCTCTCTCCTAATGGTGTCCTTGACCTCGTGCCTGCTGAGTCCCAATGTGTTTGGGATTGGTGGCTCAGGACCAGTCTGTAAAACTGACCAGCCACTCGTGTCTGTGTGCTTTGACAGACATCCCTGGAGGCCTCAGAAATTTGTGATGGGAACCACCAGGGAAGGTRTTGCTGACCCCCATCCCACATTCTCGTTGCCGAGGGCAGCTGCAGCAGCTCACACAGGTACAGACCCACACACGGGCACACGGGGAGCCCCTCAGGAGCTCAGCCTGACAGATTGCTCTCTGGAAGGCAGAGGTATTTTTCTTTCTCATAGGCAGCATACGTGGCTCACACAGGCACACACGCAGAAGCCTGACACTTATTCCCTGCCTGCCTAAGGATTCCTGCGCACACCCAGCCGTTCTTTTTCATAATAAATGTCCGTCTATTTTCATAAAAGGGCTCGGAGGAGAATAGTGCAGATGTGTGGAATAGGCCACATCATTGCATCCTGCCTCCTCCCCACTCCTTCCTGCCCCCCTGTCCCCTTTTTATCAACTCCTTTTTGGAAGGCTAATACATTTTTAAAAAGCATTCTAGAAATTGTTTGCAGAGACAGAGATGGAGCACCTGTGAGGAGAGCCAGCAGCCTCATGCACTGTAGCTTAGGTAGAGAAAATCTCTGTGTAGGGGAAGGATAGCATACAAATGGAGGCACACTGGGCTGAATTATGGATTGAGAGCACTCAAAGGACATCAGTTGAACCTGTCCTTTGCTGGGGGTGAGTGCTCTTGGTGATGGGGACTCAGGAGCKAATGGAGGCAAGACTCTGCATGCAAGTTGCCCAGGAGTGGTGCTCAGTGGCAAGGTGAGAGCACCCACTAGAGACACTATTCCTGGCAGGTCTGAAACTGCTCAGCTGTGTGTCACACAGCCTTCAGCACAGCAGGAAGATCAAGGAGCTCTTTTCTGCCAGCTAAACAGGGTTCTGTGCACCAGGATTGTTAGCCTTTTAACTCCCTCTGTGACACACACTGTGAGCCCCTGTCCTCACCTCTCCACAGCAGTGCAGGGATTGACACCAATATGCGACAACAGGTTCGGCAGCTCGTACTGTAGGTAAACCTGTAGGAATGGAGGGCTGTTGCAATGGCCACAGAGGGATGGGAGCCAGTCTTCAACCTATGAGATCAGTCATTTGTATGGAAARCAGCACAGCCCCGTTTGGAATGGTGCAGCCAGATTTGTAAGCCAACAGGAACAGTTCCTCCTATGTCCCACCCCTTTCGTTTGGGTTGGAAAGCAACTGGCTACCTGAGGGTGGGGGACCCACTGCTTCCTTCTTAAAAATATTTTGAGTGTGCATTTCACACAGAAAGGCCAGAGCACAAAGGTAGACAGCAGGAYGGCTCTCAAAGGCACCGCGGCCTCTCTGCTGCACCTTGCTCTGGCTCACCTCTGCCTCCAGCCTGACAGAGCTGGGGGGCTGGAGGAAGCTCAGGCAGACAGGGGTTGAGACCTGACCAGATTTCTTGGAGTGTCACTGCTGTCACATCTGCAGTGGCTCTGCTCTAAGTGCCTGTGACAGGGGCGTGCTGCAGTCTCATCTTGCCATGCCATTTCCAATCCTGCTGCCTCTCTGCAATGAAGATGAATGTCGCCTGTCCCGGGTTATCACATTCCCATGTGTGTGAGCCTGTGTACAGACAGCAGTTTGCTGCTGAAGCCTGGTGCTACGGGGCTAAGGAGGCTGTGCATGGTGAGGCAGAGGGAGGCCAGGAATGAGTCGTGYAGGCTGCAGGAGTCTGGGTCTGTGGGGAAGGGCTTGCAGTGACAAGAACAAAGCTTCCACCTCAGCTCCAGAGCAGGGCCAGCACCAATGTCCGGAAGATGTAAGGTAAAAACATCCTTTGAGCAGCCTGCAACCTCTGCCACAGCCACTGCATCACATCATGGAGGGGCACCTTGTGTCTGACAGCTGTCCTCTTCCGTGGGGACAAGGAGTTTTGTCACCAGACACGCCAGCCCACCACTGCAGGGAGACAGTRGAGATGGTGCAAGATGGCCATTACGTATGTGCCCTCAAAGGCACAGCCTGTGCGGGGACAGGGCTATATGTCTGGCCAGCACAGTGTGCTTCAGTCCCATACCTTGCTGCACAAACGGGGTTACAGTCCCTCTGCATGCATGAGTGCACACACAGGCATACACGTGTGTCAGTGCTGTGTCCTGCACACACACCAAAGCACATCTGCGCAAGCACAGGCACACCCGGAGCCCATGTGCACTCCAGTCCAATGCTTCTGCCTTTTCCTTGCAGAAGGGACCTGGTAGAACTGCACGGGAAGAACTGAGATCACAGAGGAAAGGGAAGGGCTGTTTTTGTGGGGTTGGACAGCAAGCAGTG